CCAGTCTATTATTTATTCGTTCCTGAGGCTAAAAATTTGATTACACGGATACATGTCCAATAATGACACTCCCGCATGACCACATTTGACTCCATTTATATTTAAGGTAAAATTTCCTCAAAAAAAAGTATCATCCTTGAATGCTCTATGATAGACTCAGTATGCTAACATCCTAGCAAGCCAGTGTTTACTTCAATGTGAAAGTAAAAAAGAAGAGTAATTAGGTGTAATTTCGTTATGCTAGTCTCTATCAGAATGAGGGCTGAACAATTCAGAATCCTAACGAATAATGCAAAACTTGTCTCCAATGATCTACATAGTGGGCCTTTAATGAGTCCTTAGGCAAAATGACTTTCGCCATGAATTGACAGAAACACCACAAGGCTACATTCGTTCTGTTTACTTCAATTATGCTAGAATTTCTTAATGCTTTACATGAATAGCTTGGAATAACGAACAAACTAGTAGAAGAGTAAAGTAATAGAAACCTTGATTGGAAACTAAATTGCTTAATCGTTAAAGAATTATGGAGAATAGTTCCAAAATTGTATAATAATATAACTGATGCTTGATACGAAGGTCAAATAAAACGTAGTTGAAAAGAAAGCCCGTGCCGCAATCACCAACAATAAAAGAAACATAAAGGCCGTATAGCAGGGCTGCTGGTTGATTTACCCCACACCATCACGCCTCTAATGTAAGGGCTAGCCAGCAAAGGTGAATGGACGTAAAATTGAGCTAAATGAAGCTAGTCTCATTGCTCAGTTAACTCGCCTCACGGATATCTGTGGCTCGATCTCTAGCGTTTTTCCCTTATCCGCCTGCATTTTTGCTGCTCCTTTCTTATGACTAATGTGTGCTCCACCGAATGAAGATATTTGGGTATCAATCTTAGCATAAATGCATATGAGAACTCATAAATATTTCGAACAGCCAGCTGTGTGTAACTCAAAGGGGAAATATAATAAATGAAGTCATAGGCGTTAGATAAGTTGCTCTGGTCGCGACCTTTTTGCACCACTACTAAGCCTTAATACTTTACCAAGTACTATTGCCTGTCGAATGAGCCCATTTAAGGACTTCTCAAGAAGAGGTTCCGTTGGAACCAAACCAATAGAATAACAATTCCTGCATAATCAGCAGACCTCGATCCAGGCGTCGTAGTAATAAGAAGGCTCTTAGATATATTTATCTGAAGGGATGCTTTGTAACGATAGATAAGATTCACCTGCAAGGCTGGAGCCAGCGCCAGATAAAGCGCTAGACCGCGCAAGCCGCAAGGCATGATATGCACTTAATTGAGTTTTTATAGGCCGTGCCTGGCCACTCATTCATTCCTCTAGGACGTGCCCTTAACAAAAAATCTTTTGACGAAATATAATTTATAAAAATAATTCACTGGTGTAGCATGGTTTAACTGTATTAATGGATTGCAGGCTGAGTGACTCCCAGTCTCTGATCCGTGGAAAGACAGAAGCGGGTCAAGTAGTGGCTGATAGGTTAATTAGGATGCGTTAACTCCATATCAGCTCTTAGGTCCGAGGCTGCAAATAGGCTTGCATTCAGACGCACAAGCAATTTTGTTGACAGCCTATAAAGTAAGGCTATCTCTTTAATATGGCATCCTAATCGTGGATATGAATACCAAGATGGTTTGACCTCTATTTTAGTCGCAGTCTCCTTTTGTTGTGTAGAAATGATTTGACCCTGTAAAGGTATGGACTTCAACTATCTTTGACGAATTGTAGCCTGCTGCTAAGAATAACAAGATCCAATGACGATGTCAGCAAAACGTCTGGAAATGCACAGTGTACGGTGTAACGATGAAAGGTACCATGACCACTATGGCTAAGGACTTCGGACAAGGTGTCTTTGTTTAACTCATGATAGCACAACCAAGTTGCGAAAACGAGGTAAAACTATTTATATAGCATCCTAGGTCTGAAATAAACGGACTTAGAATGTAACGACATGCTGGGTGCTGTACCAAAAAACGTAACTTGGGTAAAAAGTTTAGCCCCATTAGTGTTACAGGTTATAAAATGGATAGAAAAGAAAGCGTAGCCACATGTCACTAAGATAGACAAACGGGTCATTAGAATGAACTAGAACTACCGTACTATAATTTGGACTAGCAAAGGCACGAAAAAGGTATTTGAACAGTAGTCTAACAAGTTCATTTTATTTCCAAAAGTTAAGGATGGAAGATGCAGCAAAAATGAACCGAATAAGCCCCAAATTACAACCAAGTATGCATAAAAGAACAAGGCTTAGTGGTATGGACCAGCCAGAAGGGATCAGGCTAATCAAGAGAGGGTAATGGCAACCTAGGGAAGAAATTGTATAAAAGTCCTTTATCCGAATCATACGATTTGGAACTGCGTTTCCGTGGTACTTCCCAGTCTAGTCTAATAACTAGATATATGCGAAGAAAAGTTGGGTTTTGAGGAATCTCTTGTTTCATAACTGTTTAGCCTACTTCCATTCAAAGGTTGATTCCACCAGAAGACGACGGCAGATTCCTCTTGACCAGCTGTAGATTCGCTTTGCTGGAACATTCATGGTAACGCTGTTTCCAAGGTAATCTCCTTCAAGTCCGGTGAAAAGATGTCAAGCTTTCTTCCGTCATATGACGAACATCATCAGGGCAAGGTATCATCCTTGCAACCAAATTCAAGCTGACGAGTTTTCTTGAATCGTTTTCACCGGAATCGAAGGGGATTACCTCGGAAACAGCGCCAATATGAATGTTCCAGTTAAACTGATCGACAGCTGGTCAAGAGTAATCCGCCGTCGTCTTTTGGTGAAATCGACCTTCGTATCTCTTCACCAAACACTTTCACTCGAAATGGAAGTAAGCTCACCAATTAGAAATATGCGGCCTCATGAAAATATGGGCCAATAAACGACGATGTGCAAGCGAATACTTGTTAAGCGCTGAAGCAGGAGTGGACAGTAGAGGAAACTGCAAGTTAACGAGGGTTTGAATCCACTAGGCGAGCGAGCTTGAGTCATTTGTAAAGGCAGCAAAAAATGCTCAGAACAGTCGAGGAAAGTGCGAATGTAAGAATATAAGGATCATGAGAAAAATGGTTATACGCAAGGGGTTTATAAATGAGGCAGTTTTGTAGGTAGACTACAATTACAAGTACTTCACCATAGATTGCAATAGATAAAATAAATTATATGGATCTATTAAGCTGGCTGGAATGGAAATCAGAGGATCGCCAAGTGGAGAAAGTTGGATTGTACGAAGAACTTCCCTGCTCACTGTCTTTCGACCTCGATAAAGTTGTACTGAGTCTTATTTGGTTTAATGTTGACAATTTTCTTCTTAAACTATGATCTCTTACTGAAAATGCATGTCAAGGAGACAGCCGAAAGCTAAGCAGATGTTAATTAGGGAAATGGTACGGTGGGTCTAATACTTCTAAGCATAATCCAAAGGTCCCCATTCCAAGGCATACCTCAGGTTTCCAGTATGATAAATAAACTAATCCATCTTAGAAATCATGATTGAATCGATGTGATCATCATCGTTTTAAAATGTTGGAAGATATCCATGTCCCACTAGTAGTTCCTTGAAAAAAGCATGATAATTATTCAAAAAGTTATAGTTAATTCTAGATCAACTGGCAGTCACAAGGAGGTAAGATACTCTATTTAGAACATCCATGGTTGATATATAGACAAGCGATATGACAATCAAATCATAGAGAAATTTGTAATAATACACGCAATTTTAAAGATAAGGTTAGAAAAAAATCAAGAATCCGGGCCGAAGGGTGAGCAGGTGCCTTGATTTGGAAATCATGCCTTTTTTACCCCAACTAATGAGGCCAAACTCGA